GAGAAAAATTAACTTGCATGGACTGCAAAGAAGATCGACTATTGATGCTCGGCAAATGGCATAACATTACTCGGTCAAAGAAATATTTAAAATAACTGACAAAAACATCGACAAAATAGTAACCCCCGTGACTGGCACGCCGACCGCCCAGGAAAAAACAGGAATAAAACGAAGCCCTTTGGGGACAAAAAATACCTGGAAACCTGTACCCGTCGCACTGTCGAACGTGCCCAGGGGAAGGTGGCGGGTGTCGCCCTGTATTATACAACAAGCATTAACAAACTTACAAAACAACCAGTTGAAAACTGCACTGTAGCAAGACTGGCCTAGATTGACATTCAACCTTCTGTCTTCCACTTAAATACCCCTTGTCACATGACCCCACATACCATACCCCGTCTGTTTGCCATCACGAACACACAATAGTTAACCGCTATACTGCGAAACGCGGTAAACAATATTCATGATGGGTGTCTGATGTGTGTACTCTCATTGGCTTACTCCAATCATTTGAACTGCGTCTGTTTATGTGACATACAATTGATGGAGCCTATGGTTGGTCTTAAAATAGAATTTATACATAGAATGCCTATATAAAGTGGTATTAATGCTGGCCGATCAGTATAGGATCAGTATAGAACCAGAGCTACTGTGACAGGGTTTCCAAATATCTGTGATATTATAAATCCTCACCTTAAAAAATCAATCTCAATTTAACAGTCAATCAAGTGTTTATAGGGCACCAAATTTGGGTATACCTTTATTGCGAATAATCGTCTTTTCAGTCAATTAATTCATTTCAACGTATACAACGCCACATGTAAGAAATACATCGAAAATCGAACATGCACTGCGCGACAACCAGGGCCTTTGAAATAAAATAGGATGTCTTCAGAGCATTGTGCTAAAAATCCACACATTCAAAATGTTACTGAGTTCTGTTATGAGAACGGTATGACGTCATTATTGTAAGAAATGATAAACGCGATTGGGTTGCAATGGTAAAAAAAATATACGCTATATTTGTAGTGAAGTGCATTGGATGACGTTCCATTGAAACTATTTCAGCTAGATGTGCGCCACGTTAGTGGTATGGTTGTGATGGATCCCGGTAAAATGATCCGCTCTCACACATAATAAAAATAGTCTCAATCAATAATTAGATAATTCAATACATTTATTGAATATTTAATCTACATAATGCTTTTATATGTACTTACATATTGACTAATATATTTCCGACTAAATATAATTTTATGTCAACACAGACAACAGGGGCGGATCCAGCAAAATGTATTGAGGGGGGGATCCAGGTCTATAGGTCGAATACACGGGACCGTGCGATTCGGACGATGCTATGCGTAATCCAGATGCATTTTCATGCGTTTGGAGGGGGGCCATGTCCCCCTTGCCCCCCTGGATCCGCCACTGACAGACAATGCCATGCTACAGGCGTCCGAGCAATCGACAACATTTACTATTCTGACCCTCGGAGGTGTATCATATTATGAGATGCCCCAGAGCGAACTAGACAAATAGAGACGTCACGGTGGTGAAAAAAATTGCAATGGTGTTACTCAACTTTGGGAATAGAACGATCAAGCACATGTGAGTTCACATGATTAGGAAACAATCGAACTAATATAAATGGACCAACTTTATTAAGGGGGGCAAGGGTTATTTTCGGTCAACGTAATTACAATATTTGTTTGTTCGTACAACGTAAATTGAAAAAACAAATTCCGTAATTCTGTAATCACAGCCTAGACGTACAACATAATCAATCAAATATTTTGTTCGTACACTGTAAAAATGTGTCATTTTTCTCGGTACGTACAAGAATTTACATTCAAATGAAAAAAGTCGTAAAGAATAATCCAGGGAAATTACATTTTCGAAACTGTAAAACGACTAGATGACTCAATTCACTGCAAAATTTAATTTTCACTGTAAACTGTAAACACGTCCTTTTTTCCTTGTAAATTGTAAAAAGACCTTTTTATTTCCCGTAAAACTGTACCAACTACCCCCCCCCCGCCTCCTCTTATTAATAATACAGCGAAGTGGTGGAAGTCATCGGCTGTCACTGAGGGCGATGTCTTGTCTTAAATGCACTCCGGAAACCCAGAAGAAATATTGTTTGACAAATATAAAATAAATATCATTATAAAATGAGAAACTATTGGAATTTTAAATGACCGATGCATATTCAAGTGTATTTTTACAATAGTGGCTTACTATACTTATTTACAGTTAAAGAAATTGAATCTTATTATGAATATCACACATTGGTAACTACCCCCATTTGTTACTTTAGAGAAATGACAAAATTAACAATATTTAGTTTCAACACGGGTCATCATATATACAAGGTTGCCACAGGTCGTGTTTATATCCACTCGTGTAACAAGGGGGCGTATTTTCGTTACTCTCGTGTGGATCAAAATACGTGTCAAGTTATGACAATCAATCCCAGGTCCAATACACGGGATCACGTCAGGACAATACCAGCTATTTTTGTCTGGTAATAAAAAAAAATAAA